GCTGTTCATAGCAAGCTCTCCAGAAGTCATATGAACACAGCAGCACACACACAAAAATCATGTAGCTGTTATTAGCAAGTCTCTTAAATATTTGTTTGATTATACACAGAAGGTAGTTCCAGTGTACCATGGAAAACAGTAGCAACAATTTCTTACCACTAACAAGCATGGTCAGACAAAAGCATTTAGTCAACCTAGACAGAACTAGCAGTATATTTGGTTTTATTGAATGATTTCTTACATGTATTTTCTACCAAAATGGTGTCTCCAGTTCCAAAACAGAAGAGTTACATATATGACAGCATGAAATGCAAAAGGTACAACTTGAACAAAGGAGAAAGGTTGTAGTCCAGTCCAACTTGTTTATGTCTCATGACACTGAATGTCCAGTCTACAGCAATCTGCTCAAGAATGTTCCACAAAGGTGCACTGCTGAAGAGCAGGAAGTGTTCGGGATGTTCAGAGTTAGGATGCCATTTTGTGTACTGCCACTGTGATGCCGTCATGCTTCTGGATCATGATATTGCTGAAAGAGACAGGTCCGTTTTCACAATGTTACCCAAAATAACTGCAACTCAATGTTGCCTTTGTTATCTCCTAAAGCACGAGCTTATTGAATCTAGTGTTTACCCTCTCAATAGCTCTGAAAAGATCAAAGAAAGATTTGAGAAATAAAGGCCCTGAATCTGAAGCTAGTTTCCTGCACCTCAAACATGAGCATATCAATGACTATGTATGACCTCCAATGTCAGAGGAAGTCTCTTCAGTCACTACCCGTGTGTGGTTCCATTGCAACCAAAACAAAACGGGCCAGAAACTATCCCTGTGGGTGTCCAGAGGAGGAGGAAAGCTGCATGTAGGAGGCTGGAGTCACACATGCTCGTGTAGTCATGTACCTCAGAGGGAACCTTGGTTATTATTAAAAATAAGTGGTAGGTACTATTGTGTTCACTGTCACCTAGCCACCTGTATCTAATTGGCCACTGTATAAAAATGTATGTGGTCCATCATGGTTATACTTATGCCTTGTTTGTAATATTACAAAAAAACGGTTTCATGACTTGAGAGATGTCTTTAACATTAATGAGAAGCACTAGTTGTATTGTTTGATTTGGGTTTTTATCAAATCTACAAACTAAATTAGTACTTTTCCTTCTACAAATAAATTATACAACATCTATACCCAGGATGATCAACTGTGTGATGTGTGGGCCATAAATGAGGGGTGGGAGAACAGTGGCCCTACTTTGTTGCATTATGTGGTCATGGAAGGGCAATTCTGTAACCACTCCAGCAAGTTCACTGCTGAATGTCAGATCTCACACTGCTTGCAAGATTGGTTGCATATTTAGATGTACAATAAGTTGTGCAACAGAGTCTTGTAGAAATGGGGAAACAATACTGGCCACTGTTTGCTAATCTAAGTTAGATACACCCGTGATGGTGAACCATTTTTGGCCCGAGTGCCCAAACTGAAAACAAACAAATGAAAAACCACCCAGCAGGAGGTGTCAGAAGGCATGGCAGAAGGGGGAATTCCGGGCACGGAGGTGCCCCAAGACCCTATTCTGGATCTGCCACCAGCACCAGCTGCTGCAGAAGGCGTGGCAGAAGGGGGAATTCTGCCCTAAGGTGCCCTAAGACCCTATTCTGGATCTGCCACCAGCTGCTCTGGATCCTGGCCCACTGCCTGTTGGAGTGCCAGAACCACGGCTGCAGCTGCCTTCTCACATTTGCCTGCGGGAGGGGGAGGGAAGTAGTGATCTGGCGACATATGGTTTGCGTGCCCGCAGAGAGGGCTCTGCGTGCCAGCTGTGGCATGTGTGCCATAGATTCGCCATCGCTGGCCTACAGCCTACCTACCCTCAGCTCTAACAAGAGCTAGGAGGCAAAACCATTGACACATTCTCTAGATTTTAAGGCATTTTATGTTCTATTTTAGGGCTGTACTCCTCAAATTCCTAGAAAGAAAGACTAGACATTTGAAACAGTTCTTACCAAAAGCCACTGAAACGTGAGAACAGCAAACGGTTATTTACCTGCATCCATGTGTCAGAATGCAACTTAGGTGGTGGTTCTGTGAAGCCATTTTAAACAAAAGAAATAAGCAAAAGATCTTGATTAATGTACTTACCCAGTATCTGACTCAAGGCATACTACAGGAATATCTGTTGGATCAGAAGTTAATTTGGCTGCCTGCTGGGCCAGAACAGATATCACACCTGCATGTTCATCTGAGAGGGTGCCACGACCTATAAAGGCAATAGTGTGTCATTCAAATGTAACCATGCACAGGATTTTATTCTAAAATAAAATTGGTTCATGTCAAGCTGAATTAAAGGGAGAAACAACAGTAGCTCATTCCAAGTGCCATACTATAGATCTGTAACAGGCATATACTGATCAGCAGGCCTCACTGGAATTTCAGTTCTTTTGCACATAACACATAATTGGAATTCTCTTTCACTAGATGTAAAAGCCAAAAGCTAAAATACATGGAAGGACAAGAATCTGTCACCAGCACAGCACTGTAAACACTATAAAGTTTTGTTTGGCACAAACTTTTGCAGACTTGTTCAGATGCAAATTAAAGTTGTTTCTCTAGAAACTGTCCAAAGTCCACAAAAACCTGTTGGTACTAAAAGACTCTTGTTTTTGCTGCAACAGACTCACATGACTCATTTCCCACTAATGTCAATGGAGGACCATGTACATGGGAACTAGCTTAGTGCTGTTAGAACCAATGCACCTCTTCTGCAATCCATCATGGCTCCTCTTGTTACACTCACCTCTTGCTGCTTCGTGATTACTAATTTGGCTTTGGCTGTACCATACAATTCTTAAATAAAATAAAATAAACTTCTAATGGTTCTGCCTCTTTCCACCTCTCTCTAAAAAAATTAAATCTAACAGGTTGTTTCCTCCTTTCATAGATCTCCTGGTAAAGAAGCCAACAGTGTCTAGCTCTAATTTTTATCCCGCCCCCATCTTTCAGCATTCAGAAGTGACACAAAAGCTCCATAGTAATGCTCATTACTGTTTGTCATCCAATCTGCTTGATTTCAGATCAGCCTGCCCACTTCATGTAATTAGTGCACTTCCACATAATTAAGCACAGTATTAATGACAGTTACTCTTTGGGTTTGATCTTTATTGTTAATAGCATGATTATCCATGTGTCATGCTTTTATAAAAACCGCTTTTTTGCAGTAAGAGTAGGGCTGACAGAAGTTTTATTTAAGCTGATACTTGCTGATAATTATAGTTCAGATGACTGTGCAGGTACACAAGGAATATGTATTATTCAATTTATATTTAAAATATTTTTACCCAACCTTTCCCCTTAAAAAGGACCCAAGGTACCCTAATCATTTAAAGACAATATCTAAAGCTTTAAAAAGTATACAAGTTACTAAAAAGGACCCAACAAATGCCACACCAAAATATGGTAAACAAAAGCAACACCAAAAGTATATTCAAAGCAGTAAAGCACAACCATCCACTTAAAACCTCACTCTGGCAGCCCATCATTAAAGGAAAGCTTACCTGAAAGATCTTCACCTGCTTGTCAAAGGCCAGCAAAGATGGGGCCAGCCTAGCTTCCCATGAGAGGGAGTTCCAGAGTCTGGGGGTAGCAACAGAGGAGGCCCTCTCCCTTTCCCCACCAAGGGCACCTGTGAAAGGATTGAGACCCAGAGAAGAGGCCTCTCTTGGCAATCTTAACACCTGGGCAGAGGCAGGCCTTGAAACAGGGCTTTATAATAGGTCTCTTTTCTACTGCTTTTCAGCTACGCTGCGTATCTGCTACACCCAGACGTTTTAAAGGTAGATACGTTTTTTCTAAAACTAACCACAAGGTTTTAGTTAAGAATAGTTATCTTTTTAAAGAGAAAAGTGGCCTTGTCCCCGTCCCCGTTTGCAACTATTATCTTTCTATTCACACTGAACGGACCAAGCCAGGTATTTTAAGGTCTACACTAGGAGACGAGAGGAGGAGCAGCTACTGTGAGGGCGCGGGGCAGGGAGGGTGGAGAGAAATAATCTTCCAGGGAGCAGAGCCGAAATGGGGTGGGGAGGACAGAAAATGGAAGACTAAAGCATTACACCTTAAAAGACACGCACCAATCCTTAAGGCTTGAAAAGTATGCAGCATTTATATTAACCAAGTGTCTACATTACTTACAGCCCAGATTTAAGCCCTGGGAATCTGCGCACAGGACTCCCGCGATGGAGGGATTCTTCATGCTAGAAAAGGAGAAGGCCGAGATCAGAAGGGCGCAGCCACCCTCCCCTCGCCGAGCGCATTCTCCCGAAGCCCCTTCACAAGAACAACTGCACGCACGGGTGCCCGCAGAGGGGCGACAGAAGCCACTTACGTGTCTTCCAAATGATGCTCCAAAGCCGCTTCCATCTCGCCTCGTCTCTCAACTTCCTGCGGCCTGCCGCTTGCTTTGTCAGCTGACCTTTGGTCACGTGGCGAGCTCTCCCTGGACGGCGGCGCATAAGGGCCAGAATTCCTCGAGGTTACGTGGCGCCGCCCTGTGGGAGGGGGAAAGCGTTGGAAGTTGGCTTCGGCGAGAATAGGGAAAGGTTCGTCCCGAGGTGTGTCGTTCGAGGTTTTATGTTTGGCAGGAGGAGTCACGGAAAGCGTTGGAGCTCACTTTTTAGCGCCATATATAATACTAATTATATTTAATATTTCTTTAGCAAGCACCAAGTGTTCGGAGTGGTTCCTAAAGCGGAATCATTCTGAGGAGTTCTGGCAACAACTCTGTGAAACTGTCATTGTTACGTGCGGTCACTTCCTTTCCCGCTTATCGTGATCCAATAAATTGATGACCTTCCTTCGAAAAGTCTCGACATGAGCAGCCCTCCGTTTCCCTTCGTTTATTGAATTAGCCCAGCTTACCTTATGTCTGCCTCTTTCCCCATTGTCATATACTTTTCTTATTATTATTGTGTTCTCCAGCGAGTCTTCTCATGGCATGTCGAAATTACAATGGGCACCATTCGTTTCTAATAAGAGTTCAATCTTGATCTGTTCTAGAAAGCACGCTTTTTAAGTTTCTGGTGCTCTGTAGCATCTAAAACTCTCTTCCAACACTACATTTCACATGGATCCCATTTTTTCCTGAGGCAATGTGAACTACCATGTCTCCTCCACCAACACTAGGTCCCACTGGCAGGACAGATGAAATTGACATTGCTTTAGAGGTCCATATTAGGTAGAAAGATTGGACAATATTTTGAATAAGGAACTAGTTCAAGCAACTAGAAAGCAAGAATGCACACACGCGCACGGACACACGGACACACGCCAGAATTGTAGGACTGCTGTATTAATTTTCCATGTAAGCAAAGTGACACTCAATATTTTATAGCAAAGACTTACCATATATGGAGTGAAAATGCTAGATGTTCAAGGTAGAGTCAGAAAAGGAAGAGGCATTGTATATTTTAAATATACATATGTTGGATACAAAACTAGAATTTCAGGTTATCACTATGCTTTATAGCTTATAATAAAGTCTTTGACTATGTGGATCATAATAAACAATTTTTTTATTATCAAATAAATTGGTGTTCCATAACATTTCATTGTCCTGGTGTGTAACCTATACTGTGAACAAATGGTTGCTTTTTAGGATAGAACTGGAGAAACAAAATCATTTCAAATTGGTGAAAGAAACATCAGTTATTTAAGATATCCAGATGATTCTATCTTATGGACAGAAAATATTTAAACTACATTACTACTAAGGAAGGTAAATGAAGAAAATGTGAAGCAAGATTACAGATGAATATTGAGAACATTAAAATGTATACAAAAGAGTTACATAAGTTTAATGTTGTCAATAAACAAAGGCAGTGGGAAAATGATAAAAACTAACATGAGGTTGATGGACTCAATAAAGGAAACCACAATATTTCTTTTGCAGTTCTGGGGAGACCTATTACTGTTAGGACCTTTTGGAGGTCATTAACTCATGAAGTCACTATAAATCAGAAGCTACTTAATGGTGCTTAATAACAATAAATCATATCCTGTGGACCATGTAAAAGAAAATATGGTGGCAGATCTTTTGAAAATAAAGTATTTGGCTCGATTTCTTATCTGAAACCGGAAATTCTGAATTCTGTGCTGTGCAAATGATCACATTTAAAACCAAATATGTGTAACTTTGCTCTTCCCCTTTCCCCCACCTCTCATGCAGATGTGTGAACTCCTGTGTGCAGAAACTACTGTAATCTGATAGTGTTGTGCAGAACTCAAATTCTACCCTGTTCCAGTACACCCCCCAAAGTATCTATAATGATGAAATTGTGTACTGTGTGCCAAATACTAAATCAAGTGCCACATTAATTCTGGTGCATCAGCAGTCTTGCCCTGATGAGAAAGTCAGAAGCAAAAAGAGTGATGTGTCTCTTGGTACTTCCAATCGCCTGCAGGGACGTGACATATGCATAAGCCCATCTGTCATGGCAATATAAGGCCTGAGTGGGAAGCTATCTGAATTGCTTGGAGGGAAATAAAAGTTTATCATTCTGTGTGAACATGGCACTGTGGCAAAGAGGGAAATCTCCTTCATCATTCTAGGTAGGCAGGGATTAGAAATGCTGGAGTTGGAAGCTGGTCCCTGTTTTTGTTTTTTTGTTTTTTCCTTCCAGTTATTCAGAACAGGGAGTGCCCACTTGGGAAAAATGCATGGCAAAGATACTGCATCTGTGCACATTGGATATGAGGGCAAACCATTTCCAAGTACCCCATCTCCATAGTACTGCTTCCATGTATGTTTCTCAATAAATACTAAAGCTTCATAAATGCTACAGAGCTCTAGTGGGGGAAATATTTGTCATTGTACATCTTTTACAGATGTATTGCGTGTGTAAAATGCAAGACTGATCTACTATTAAGCAGACTGAGAGGACTACCTCAGCCAGCAAATGATGATGGGTGGCAACAAGAGCTTCTTGACTGTTTCTCATGAGCTTTCCAGTTGCCGCTTCTGGAGACAGAGACAAGTGTGCTGTATAACCGTCCTGGTTCACTAAAGTAGGTGCAGTAGAGGTTCTTAATATTGGGAGTGTTGAGGTCAAATTCTGCTGCTGGTCCTGCTAGCTTTTTTACATTCTGTATGCAATTGATTCAAGTCTTCATAGAGCAGGTAGGGGTACCATTGTGTCCTTCACTTCAGAGAGCAGATGTCCTAGGCTGACCATGACAACATGTTCAAAATTTGCTCCAGACATTCAGATACAAGTGCACAACAAAATATACAACTTATGTAATATAACATTCTCATTACATAACATACAAAGCAAGTGTTGTTTGTTTCCTCACTCCTTTCCTGAACATATATAATTTACAATATTGATACACAGCTTTTAAGTAAAAATTCCCCAAAGGCCTGTATATCCTAAATCAAAGCAACCATTATATCATTTGCAACAACCTAAAAAGAAAAAGTGTTCAAAATGAACTGAGAACAAATAGAGCAATACACAAAATAATCTGAAAGGTTGTCAAAGAAGTCAGTCGGGGCACTCCCAAGTGAAGTGTTCCACGATTCCATAGAGAAAGCCTGTAGACTTGTGGATGCCAATGTAATGTGCAAAAACGATGGATTCCATAGGATAGTCTGGCACAGGAATTACTGTACACACAGACAATAGAACTGTAATTGTCTTGTTTCCAAAGTGCCATATAGTGCTGAACTACCTGGCCCAGTTGATTTGCCCCTTTATGATATTAACATCTGATTTCCCCAGGGGCATTACGGATGAAACTCTGTCCCCTAATCCTGCCATTCAGACTGACTGCTCCAAATCTGGTGGGGCCATCCCTACATTGACACTTCAAGTTTTAACTAATGTGTTTCAGGAGCTTTCCTTTCAAACAGAGAGCTCCATCCAAGAATTCATATCCAGTGCAGAAGATATTGTTCACCTTGCCTTGTGAGAGGGCAGGTAGGTATCCTTCAGTCTCGGGAGTCTATGGTAATGCACTCTGAATAGAGGTCTTGGAACAGCATCTAGTGTGGCTGAGGAAGCCAATTTGAGAGTGACAATACCTTCCACACTGAAGACAAATACAATCTGTCCCCTATCCAGCTCCATGATTTTGCTGGTTTCAGGACTGCCTCTTTGCCTCGGCTTGCTGGACAAGGGTCTCTTCAAATTGGGAGAGGCCATGATGCACCGACTGCCTCCAGGCTGAAGGGTCAGATGTCAAAGTTTCCTTTGTGAAATGACGAAGCCCCTTATTTAATATTACATTGCAAATGAGTTCCAGATGGTCAAAATATGGTCAAATAAAAGTTGTGCAAGTTCAGAGAACTGACTAAACAATCACACTTCATTTTATAGTAAGAAAATCCAGAGGTGACCCAGACGCAACATAACAAAACACAATACCAGAAAGACCATCTTGTTTGAGGATGATACAGCTCTAACTAAAAAGAACATGTTCTTATACTCACTTTATAATGTTCTTATACTCACCTTATAAAAGCAGAAGTTGTATGTTACTGGGGAAGGCTGTGTCAAGGGTTAAAAAGGATACAATGTACCCAAGAATCAACAGACATTATTTTATGAGGCACTAGTAGTGTACACCTGTTCTCACATTAGGGTTTTAGCATTTGATACAGAATCAGAAAAGGAGTCTGGGAGACTAACAGTCTTCTCTCTGACTAGATTTTCATACTCCAAGTAAACCTAGCTAACAGTCGGCATCTATTAATGTAATCTAGAATGTGAGTGTGCATTCACATTGGAACTTGCTATAAACAAAGATTTTTGAAACTTTCATGTTTCTTCTGCTCTGTCCCCAGATCTGATGAAGGGGTATTAACTCGTACAGGATAGAGAAGCTAACTGCATTTGAAAACTAGTTTCTGTTTGCGAGATTTTTGTGATCTAAGAAAGGTATCATCAAACCTTGTTCTCTGATATCCAAAATCCAATCCCTGAAAAGGAGACTGTCCTTCCACCCTCATCTTTGGGGTAAGTATATACAAGAGCCACGCAGCCTTTTCCCTAGGCAATACAACTGTCTGAAATAGCTGACCAAGGCAGTAACTAAGCACATTTTTCTTGGATATCTGAGGTGACACCAGGTGTGAGGAAAATGCCTGAATCAAGAGACTAAGGAGGTAATTGTTCTCTCACATGGGAATACCCACATTTCCACCCTTTTACCGTGTTATTCATCAGATACAATATAGGAAATATACATTTTTGGAGGGAAAACTGTCATAATCCTCTAACAACATGGCAAAAAAGTAACATTTCCAAGCTCTGCTCATGGTTGACTTCCCCCACCCCTGTTCTGTATGCAGTTGGCTCAAGTCTTCATGTTCAAGAGCCAATTGCTGTTATATCTAGTTTTGACAGGGTGAAGGCTGCTTTTATGAAAATTCATTTTCTTCTGTGAACAGTAGACCCTGGCCTTTTCATCTTACCATCAATTTGTAAGGGCAAATACATTTT